TCTTTATTTAAATTTCATAATTCAAAATAATAAAAGAATTATAAATCTACTTTTACCGAGGAACATGATTAAAACAGTCAATTGTAACTAACTTTTTTTTCAATTGAAATAAGTAATTTAAATACAATATTTACATAATAATGCATACCTTTTTCTCAAGGAGAAGATTATATCCTTGTATTTTTTTAATATTCAATATGTGATTTATATAACTAACGAAAACAACTAATAACAATAATTTAGAAACTGTCAAATTAAAAAAATGTTTTCATGTACATCTCGGTATTTCTGTATTAAAATTAAAATAAACGATACAATACCTAAGTTTGTATCAATACCATTCTCTAAATTCTAAACCTTTCGTTCACACAAGAACTAAATAGTATTGTAAGGCAAAAGAATAAAGAATTCGTTTTATACTTTTCTGTTTCAAGTTATTTAAACTGGATTTTTATAGGAAAAGCATAAAAATTTGAACTTTTAGTATTTAAAATAATTAAAGTATTTAAAATTATATAAAATCAGATACAAATGAAATGATTAAGTATATGCAGTAATTAACATAGGAAATAGAAGTGCATAGTAAATAGTTACATGAAATAAAGTCAAAACGACAAATTATAACTAAAAATCTATACCACAGTTTTTCAACACGATTACTTGTATATTAAAAGAAATAAACTGTTTACTTGCATATAACACATAAATTAAATTGAAAAATAGTACGAATAACTAAAATTTTTGTGATAAAAGCCGGTGTAACAGTGTTGACAGGAAAAACGTTAAATAGCAAATAACAAAGGCAGATTTCATCCTTCTTAATGTTTAAGCTTTAAACAATTAATTAGCAGGTTTTACTTATAATAAGTTAAATCTTCTACTTAATTGTGATTTATTTATAGTTATTAGTTAATAAACTCTAACTAAAAACGAATTTACGAAAAACACTTACATTATGCAAATTTTTAACTTAATCTATTTTAGGTTAAATCGTGTCTTCCACATTACGTTAATTTTAACCAAACGAGCTTTAAAACTTTATAAATATTTACGAAAAATCATCTTTTAGCTAACTTGAAAACTGTTTTTTTTTTTTTTTCCGCGATTCACAGGTGTTATTCTATTGTTTTCTGGACAAATGAAGCGAAAATTATGAATAATTAATAGGTTTTATTTCTTGTTTAATTTTATTTATTACCTTGCAATTTAATAAAATTGTAGCCTTATTTATTTATAAGACTTATTATAATGGTATAGTTCCTGATGAGCAAATAGAAAATAACTTACTTTTAAGTAAGAACAAAAGATCTTTATTTACACAAAACAGAAACGACAACTGCATAATACAGTAAGTCTTAATAATAAACCAGATTATTTAATGCGAAATATCCGAGAAAAAGTTATTTTATTAAAGGTAAAAATATCCGATTAATTCCGATTTTTTCTAAACATAGAAACATTAATTTTCGTTCAACTTAATTTTCTGATGTGTTTAGATGTCAATTTTCACCACAAGAAATGAACGTTTTCGAAATTTTTAAAGGTTTTTGAAATCAGCCATAAATCTATACAGTGGGTAATCGGTTAATGAACAGTTCGGATAGCGAACAAATCGGATAACGAACACTTTTGCGAAAGATTTTTATGATCGGACAACGAACACTTTACCGAATAAACATAAAAAGAAGCGACCGAAAATAACGAATACCAATTGATTTTCCGTCGTCTTCAGGTAACAATTCGAAACTTTCCGGAGCGTGGGAGACGTAAATCGACTCTCAACTCGATATCGATCGGATAGTATTCCTCCAAATTTTTAAACTCACTCTTGTAATTCCGGCTTTTTGTTTACCTTTCTGACAAATAATTTTTGTAGTATTCGCGAGACTGTCGGACAGGCACTTGTAAAATTTTGCTTCGGAGTTTATTTACGAAAGGTGAAAGAATATTCGTTAACGTTTTAATACCAAATTTCGAATTTCATTTCGGCCTTGTATTTAAATAATTTTTTGTGGCCTAGTTGATTTCTGTTCTCTGAATTTTTGTAAGTGCTTTTCCGAACTTTTTATTAAAAACAAACTGATAATATTTTGGAGCCTAAAAAGAGGAGTGTAAAGAACTGTGCTCACCGTAGAAACCAAGTAAGAGATAATAGCCAAGGTAGAAAGTGAGCACAAGGTGTCTGATATTGCTAGGCAGTATGGCTTGAACAGGTCTATAGTAGGCTCAATCTTAGCTATGAAAGATATATCAAGAAGTCTCAAGCTGTTAATGGAGTAATGAAAATTACGTCTGAGAAATAAAGAGCATTTTAGAGCTCATAATGGAACCTGAAATTGATCTGACGACAGAAAAACTCCAAGAACTCTCAAATGAAGAATACCGAGAAACTCAGCGAAATGTGTTATCTTTTGGAAAAGAGGAAGACGAAAGAGGACCAATGTCGACATCTGCTACTAAAGATCTTTTGAAGGAGTGGGAGGATGTTATATCATCCAAGTGGCAACCAAAGCAGAATAAGGTTCATTGGGTTGGGGATCTCTACAATTGTTGTTGTTAAGTTCCGTCAAGTCGTCGTCGACTCCTGGTGACTGCATGGACAAGTCTATCCTTTGTCCATGTAGTTTTCTTGGCAAGAGTTGAGGAAGTGGTTTGCCATTGCCTTCTTCCTTGAATGATGTGTCACGCGCGCGCGGAGAAAGAATGCCTTCCGGGAAAACTTTTATGGGGAACTGGCCTCCTATTTAGTCGTTATTGGCAAGGAGAAAAGCCGGAAAACTCCAAGCAGCCAGCCTGTCCGATCGCGGCACGAACCCACGACCGAACTTCCCAGTGTTTAGGGTCCAGTTACCACCGCTATGAGCGGCAACGGAGACCACTCGGCCACTGGTGGGCTACAATTACACTCTCTACAATTACAATACTATTAATTACTTCCGAAAAATCCTGAAGAAAAGAGAAAAGCAATCGACATTGGACAGATTGTTTAACCCCACAAACGGATAAAACATGACTAATAAAAATGCAAGACAGCATATGTATGTATTCTTACTATTACATGTAAATAAATGTAGTAAAAAAGTATATATTTTTTTATTTTTTGGAGTCTTCAAAACGAATTAATCAAATTCCCATACAAACCTATGGTAAATCGATAATCGGTTAACGAACAATTCGGATAACGAACAAAATCTTGGAACGGATTATGTTCGTTAACCGATCACCCACTGCATTTGTGTACAGTACAGTACAGTAGAATTGAATTTATGTTTTATTCTTTTTCGTAAATTTACATCAACAAATAATTTATAATATTTTTAAGGGAAGTACACATTTTGTTTCCATATCTCCACTAAGAATTTTTAATAACATTACGAAATCGCTTTTCGACTTCTCGATAATATTTGTATTTATATAATCTGAAGCAGATTGAATATCTAATTTTAGAATGTAATCGATCAAATCACAATTTATAACTTAAGCACGGCTATCGAAAGAAATACTACCAATACATTCGTATATTTTTGCTGTAACATTTCTTTTAACATCTTCTAACAGATACTGTACTCTAGCTATACTTAGTGCTGAAAGACATCTTATCACTTTGACTAAATTAGCCGTATCATTTTGGTAACAAACTTTCTTTAACAGGCACGACATGTTTGTTACAATTGACATCACGTTACTTCCATCGTCTATTTCATTTTCACAGCCGAGGGAAGGGAACCTACTCGAATCCAGACACTGGGTAACTTAGCTGTTATATTTTGAAAATATTAAGAAAGACTAAAATTTTCAAAGAGAATCTCTGACTACTTTTTAAGATTTGTGCGTATAATTCGTAGTTAATAAAGAAAATTGTAAACGTTAAATATATCTTACAATAAAATTTTACCAAACAATACATGTAATTGTTGCAATTATATTAATTAAAAATTAAAGTTACTTAATCTATATGTAAAATCGAGACCAGTTGATAATAATAATAATAATAATAACAACAACAACAATAATAATCAGCTCAAAGCCCAAACGGTTAGGAGTTGAAAGTTGAAATTTGGTACACAGTTAGAGTACGTCACGAGAACGCACACTAATAAGGGATTTTTCGAAATTCCCCCGAGGGGAGATATACAGGTTTAAGGTTTCGATAATGGAAGTGCTAACAATGGAATTTGTGAAGGAACAATGGAAGTATCAACAATGGAAGTGTTAAGAGAAACTGACTGGCAAGGTTTACAGACGCAGATGCAGTTTTTTCGTTTTTGCGAAAAATCTAACATTTTTTAACCCATCTAAAAATTCTCTAATTAGTCTGGAAACAGGGGACCTAATTCTTGCATTCTTTGAAAACGGTTAAGATTGACTATAACGTAATAATCGTAATTTTCGCTATTGTTAGTTTTCGCCCGAGCAACGCCGGGCCTATCTGCTAGTTAATTAATAATCCTTTATTAGCTGTTAACACAAAGCCTTTATAAAAATAATATTTGATTCTATTTAAAAGACGTAAACTATAATAAGAAACGAATTATGTCATGATAATTATCGTAAATTTTTTATTAGGAATGAATTTTCTATATTAATGCGAAATAATAATTGTTTCAATTGGTTTCGCCATGATTAAGCACGAGTAACGTTACATATTATAATGACAGACCTCCATCAATACAAATTACATTTAAAAGTTTACCAAAAATATTTATCAGCATTTCGGTTTACAAAACTTAATAATGAATATTCGGAAATGACACCACAATTATGAATTTAGAAGTTGCATTTCTTACAAAGATACTTTAGATTATTGTAATAATTATGACTTTGTCGTCCTAAAACATAAAGTGACACGTGTCATAATTGTTTATATAGTATTTAGTAGATTTGTAGTGGTTTGTCCTAGCTGCAAAAATAGAACAAACCAACTTTCTATAATAACACTAGCGCATATTGAAACGCTATATATTATTAATTATTTATGTTAATTAAGGGTTTTTACTTACAACAAGTGCTACTTTTACCTCTTCAGTCACTTGAGGAAATAAAGAATTAAAATCAAGGTTTTATCACACAATTTCCGGGTTGTTTTGGAATTAAACCTTAAAAATATATTAGAAATAAAGAATAAATATTAATGTTATGATAAAATATTTAAAAACAATAAATTTTATTAATCTAAAAAAACGAAATAAATAAATAAGTACTTAAAATGATAAACGGCAGCAAAAACTTCATATCAATTCTACTTGCAAGTGAAAAGCAAAAGAGAATGCGCAATTTCAGACTTCAATTAACAATAACGAATTATGACGCTAATTTATATATTTTAATATGTACAAGTTGTGATTTGACGTCACAGAAATGTACAGCGCGACATTTGCATTTGCATCTGTTTCGATAGTAAATTCTACGCACGTTCTTCACAAAAGATCAACATCAACGAAAACAACTAATAACAATAATTTAGAAACTGTCAAATTAAAAAATGTTTTCACGTACATCTCGGTATTTTTTGTATTAAAATTAAAATAAACAAAACAAACTCTAATTTTGTATAAATTTAATTTTTTACATTTTCAACCTTTCGTTAAAAAAAGAACTAAAAACAATTGTAAGGCAAAAAATATACCATTCGTTTTAATCTTTATTGTTTCAAGTTATTTAAACAGAATTTTTTATAAAAATTTGAACTTTTTATTTAAAAAAAAATAGACTTTAATAAGCGAAATATAATTTTCGAATCTATAATTTTATAAAATTATTCATTTTTAATTTTTATTTAATCTGCATTTACAATAAACTACACGTCAGCAATAGCAGCTGACATTTGTCAGTAAAGAGTATTACAAATAGTTTTGGAAATCATAAAAAAGAATTTTTCATAAATATAACATAATCGTTTTATTATAAAAAATATTTGTAAAGTTACCTAAATTATGAAAGTAATTTTGATTTAGCTTAATAGGTATTAAAAATTGTATGAAATCAGATACAGATGAAATGGTTTCGTATATGCAAAAATTATCATAATGTGAGGATGTAGGCTCTTTTGTGAGTTTTAAACTCAAAACAAATTTTTTATTATTTATCATTATTTTTCTTATTCCTCTAGTTTCGTTTTTTTAGGAGGTCGAAGGTGGACCTTTTGACCCAGCGTGGTACTGCGTTACTTCGAAAGACGATCTTCTTGACTTTCAAAGACGTTTAGGAAGACAGATAAAGTTATCCACTCACCCCCGGGGATTATTCATTCCCATTTTCGTTACGACTTACAAATAATCAACCAATTAACAATAATCTCAACTTGTTACATGATAGAGGATAACAAAAAGGTCACCGAGAAGGGTAGACCGAGCTGAACAAACCCCCCTAAATTACGTTCGATGTGAACGATGAGAAAACAGTTCAAGATGGCAATAAAAGGCAACAATCATTACTAAGGTGCAAAACTAATTCTGACCTTAGTCATCTGTAGCAATTAATTCCGTTAGTTTGACAACTCTTTTCAAATTTATAAGAGGAAAGTGACAATCCCGAATAGAAGAAGAAATAAATCTACAGAAAAATTCGGATGTGTGACAACAAACATAAACAACCCCGGACAAGTCGAAATTACATGGATTTGTATCAGAATGTTCCTCGATTTCTCTTTCCCTCCGGGGTGAGTGCAGTCCTCCCCTTTGCTGGGACACAGTCCTCCGAGCGGATGTTCACAGCTGATAGCATCCGGCTACATCTACCAGGCCCCTACCGCTACTCTGTTCGATGCCACCTGCCATACCTGCCGGCTTTCTCCCAAGATAACCAGATGACCACCTGCCAAATCCACGATAGTTCAGACGACGTCATATACCAGAGTTAGAGGTATTTATAAGAAATTTTGACTTTCTCGCTCTCTGAGAAGTACCTCTTAGAGAGGTTTCTTTCGTCTCTTAATTTGACTTCAAGAATAGAACATAAATGTTCCATGGGAAGACGAATCATTGTCGCGAGCTAAAATAGAATTTCTGATTATTTCGATTTGTTTCGTTTACGCTTTTGCCTTCGATATGAATAATTTTATAGTTGTTTATTAAACGTGTTATTTTTGATCAACCTGCAGCGGCGGCCTTATTCATTGCTAGGCTCTGGGCGGCAGATCTTTGTAAGGCCCTGGGCGGCAGAACTCAGCGAGGCCCTTGTCCTTTGTGCAAAGTATGTGAATTGAAATAGTAGGCACTTATTAATATTAATATATACTGTACTATAAATTAAATTTATTTTATTGTTATAACTAATAGCCAAGGATAAAATAAAAAGTTTTAAATATCAACTTTTTTCTACTTGGTTGTTGCGCAAGGCCCCTCCAAGAGCGAGGCCCCGGGCGATTGCCCTGCTCGCCACCCCCTAACGCAGCCACTGTCAACCTGTGTACTTATTCGGAACCTGTCGACGTACTCATTGATCTCCCCACTCACGTTTTATCTTTCCTAAAGCCATCCTCTGACAGAAATAAAACTGCACAGTAAATAGTTACACGAAATAAACAAATAAAATTAAAAAAGACAAATTAAAACTAAACTATACCACAGTTTTGTCAATACGATATTTTTGTCAAAGAAAAAAATTATATTTTGAGGTAGTGTGATTTTGAATAAAATATGATCTCTAGATGTATTCAACATTTAGTTAAAGCCATCCTTAAAAGTTTAGAGATCGAATCTAACGATTTCTGCCGATTAAGCGGTATTCCAGTTTGGTACCCCCTGCTACTCTCACATTTAGGTGTGGAGCTACTTGGGCCTAGGCCAAGGGGCCTCTAGACATTGGGGGGCATCCTAACATTCGAGATCTCGAAAATATGCTAAATTGAATAGAGTAACAAGTACTAAAATTATTATAAATAGTAAACAATCAAAAGATATATTTAATAAATTTTATTAAACATAAATATAACAATACGTTTAGCGCAGAAAGCTAAATGAAAAAAATTTTGAAAATTAACCCTCCGTTACGACTTTCTTAAGGGAACCTCCAAGCTTTTCTTGGCCAGGGCCTCGCAGGTACCAAAGACGGGTATGATAATAGCCGGGAAAGTAATACAAAGTTGTTATGTTGTCTTGTTAAAGGCAGCCTGTTGGCAACGATTCTATAATTCCAAAATATATTATAGCATTTTTTGTAATGTGTAATAAAAAAGTGTAGAAATTTCAAATTTTATTCATTCGAAAATTTACACCGCAATTTATTAACACATAAATATATAAATTAATTGTAACCCTTTTAACTTTTAGTGTTCGTAAACAGAAAGCGCTCGTATAGTGCAAATGTTCAGCATCGCCATGGCAACGGACGTGGGTTGCTTTGATCTAGATTTTACGTAATAAATTCATGTTAGCTTTTTAATGTTAAATTTTTTAAATGTTAAAAAAAATCAAAAATTAACAACCAAATAGAAATTCAAAGTCAAAGTGTTCTAAAAAAAGTATAATGAATTTGGTATATCATATTTTTATCCACATTGGGCAGAACATTATCTCGAAATTCATTATTTGGTGCAAGAATACGGGCAATGTGACAGATATATGCCAACTCTTGGTGTCTACTCCACTCGAATGCATCTATTTTATTTAAAAATACTCATATTTATAAATAAAATATTGTATTGTGATATTATATTTATTCTTATTTTATTTATTGTATCAGTTGTACGCGGGCCGATAACTCACTTACACAGGTACCAAAGTAGATAACGAATTCACAAGATTTTTAAAACTTTTTAAATTGATCTGTCCACTCTGTTCATAAATTTGTTTAGCCGAGTTAAGAATCTACGCTTAGACATTTAGCTCGCACTCGGTAAAGTCGACCCATTTCAATTGTTATGTATGTGAGCCGATGAGCGAGTCATATATTCACTTTTCAAAGCGAAAACTTCGGAAACGTATCTTTATCTGTCAACTCCCATCCCCGTGTAGTTAAGCTGGAAAGTCGAAAATTGCCAGCTAAACACACCAGAAAGTTGCGGTTTGTATCGTTTTAAATAAAATGCAAGTCTTCTCATACCGAACCGTTTAGTGTAGAAGATAGAACATGAGTTAGACATTAAAAATGTTTAAACGTGATAATTATTAAAATTTATTGCAAATAAAAAATGAATAATACATCTTTAATAACAGAATCTATTATAATAATTTAAAAACTGTTTTTATATTAAATTTTACAAAATTAAGTGGTTATAGAAAGGTAAAAAAATACACTAGTATATATAAGTATTATATATTTGATAATTATATATGTCGATTAATTCCTGCCTACATTTGTTTGCCGGCTTTACATGTAGCGCCATATATTGGATAAATGTTAACAAAATATTTATTTAAATATAACTTTTATATTTAGGTATATATTAATTGTTATATATTGTTATATATAATTGTGGGAAATAGAGGCGCTATTGCGCTTTTACTGCTACAGGTAGCACAACGCGCACTTGGTTGAGTGGAATGTAAGTCGTGTTTTGCCCCTGTAAATCGTACTTTTTTGTTAGCAAAAAAGTCGTGTAAGTTATCTTCGGGGGAAAATTTTTGAATTGAAATAACGTGTCCATCGGTTTGCATCTGAAGTTCTTGTATAGTTAACCTCAGAGCCTTCTGAACCTAAGGTTTCCATATCCGGTCTGTTCTTTTATATACGTAACTCCGTTCTCGAAATTAACCAAAAATAGATGGAGAGTCAGATGACAGTGGAACTTTATTGGTCTACAATTTATGTAAATTGCAGTCTAATAATTCTGCGAAACAATTTTTTATACCGCTATTATTATCTATTTATCAATTACTTATAACAAATGGAATTAATCCAGGCGAGAACAAACTGCCAAACAAGATCTTTTGTGATTAATTCACATTCAGATAAACTTGCTTGATCCTTATTTAAATTTCACAGTTAAAAATAAGAAATATTCACACAAATCCACTTTTACCGAGCTATTTACAATACCAAATAGTAACTAATTTTAATTCCTCATTTGAAAACAATGAATTTAAATACAATATTTTCATCACAATGAATATTTTCTCTCAAGCAGAATCAGCATAT